GGAAACCGTAGCAGCTGCGCCTCAACGGGGCAGGTAGGATCACAGAGCATGGACGCCATGCAAACACAGGACGAATCGACCTGTCCCGTTGATGACATCACTCAGCGGACACCATGTGAGCTGCATATTCCTTTCAAGAACTTATCAATAAAGGTAAGATTTAGCCATTCCGCTAGTTGCTGCTTATATATGTTGATTACTAATAAATAATCTCTCACAACATGAAGGTGGCGTCGGGCATGGCCATCCCAACGGACCCTTCAGGTACTTACCACTGCAGGCCGATTCCAGCAGGATACTCCAAGGTCGAAGTTGAGTTGGTCGAAGGCGCGTACGAGGACCTCGAGCTGGATTACCCTGGAGGAGACGGTGAGACGCATCTACGAGACACATGCCATGCCATTATTCTATGGCGCAGGCGGTACATCATCCTCCCTGGGCGACAAGCGGCGTCTCGTGCACCATCTCCTCCGGCTCCGCCATCTCCTCCTCAGGATCCTGCACCGTCTCCTCCTCATGCTCCGCCAGCACCGTCTCCACCTCAGGCTCCAGCATCGACTCCTCCTCAGGATCCTGCACCGACTCCTCCTCGTGCTCCTACACCTACTCCCCCGCAAGCTCCTCTTCCGGCACCTTCAAAGTCAAGGGCCTCCCCAGCTCCACCGCTTGCCCACACAAGGGCAACAAAGAAGGCGAAAGTTGACGCCGCCAAGAATAAGGACCCGGGGTACGATTGCACGCAAGAGGAGCTTGACGCTTACGTTGCATCAGAAGTCAAGAGACAATTCAAGCCTCGAAGTCCAGAAAAGAAGATTCCTATAGACCCCAGTGTCAGGAACTTCTTCAGGGGTATGTCTGCATCTGTCAAGGAGGCCATCAAGCTATCGGACTATGAGCGAACGCTGAAGAAAGCATCTTCTGAAAAGTCCAAACCAGTCCCTCAGCTTGGAGAGCAACCAAACCAGGAGATCGAGCCGTTGGTGACCGGTAAAGAAATGACGATAGAACAATTTATTACTGACACCGGTCTAACTACGGATCAATTGCTAGGAGTCGCACCAATCGAAAAGGCGGAAGTGAAATACATGTACGAACTCGGTAAACCGCTTGTCAAGCCTGAGCTGCTGCAGTCCCTACCCACACAAATGTACAAGTTCCATCAGCTGTACATGGAGATGAGCGCCACCGGTAGAGAGATGATCGGAGCGAGGATCAGGGACACGGACTTCTTGCAAGGAGATGACATTCTCTGGATCAATTTCAGGGGAATCTACGAACTATACCAGCTGGACGCCCTCGACGTCTCTATTATGAGTTGCTGGATTTTGTAAGTATATCGTTCAGTTAGATTTCTTACTATACGTCTCCTTTAATTAATTAGGTCCTTGTATATAAGTAGACCATAGAAAATAATATACTCCCTTTTATCGTTGTAGAATGGAGATTCAAAGGGCCCGACGGCGGAGGGTTTTCGATACTGGATTCATCGACCCTCGGAAAGTAAACGTCGCAATGCTCGACCAATATCCACAAGAAACAGAGGACAATCTCGTCCATCTCCTGAAGGCGCAGCATTACAAGACGTTCATACTGTTGCCATACAACACAGAGTTAGTTTAATTTTACTGTCTTCCTACATACCAAATTTCATTCCCGTACGAACTTGCTAAGTGTTTCATATGTAATGCATCCCACGCACATTGCAGATTCCACTGGGTGCTTTTACTCATCGACCTGGAGGCCTGCACCGTCAACGTATATGACTCAATGGATAAAAAAGAGTCTATGTTTGACAAGGTTTTCGAACTTATAGACAGGTACCGTCATAAGTTCCTTTGTTAATTAAGAAAATCTTGTTATGTTAATTGCTACTACGAATCATAGCTTTAAACTCCATGTAGGGCTTGGTATCGGTTCCGTCATTTGGTCCGCGGCAAATGGAGAGAAAGACTTAGGTGGAAGTTCAAATTTCCTGTGAGTACACATGCTCTACATTTATATTTCTCCGATTCAAATACATACAAGTGTATATTAATTAGATCTCTCGTTGTTTGTCATTTATTTGTAGTGCGCAAAGCAAAAGCAGGGAACTAACTTGTGTGGCTATTACGTGTGCGAGTATTGCCACTGCCTTGCAGACCAAATCATCACCACAAGAGAGCTCGATGTACGTACAAATAAATTCAAAATTTCATTACGTAACGATTTCTTGTTTAATTACTAATCAATTTCATACATTCATATAGTTTATTCGCATGAGGGATAACCTGACCACACACAAGGAATTTATCGCGGCGGTTCAAGAACAACTCATGGGATTCATCAACGAAGAAATCCTTGATCCCAAGGGTGAATTCTACTACGACGGAAACACAATTCACCGGTCCTTAGCTTCTGAGCTAGCAACGAGTACTACTACGTCGAAATCGTAGCTAGCTAGGACATATAATGGATTGTAATTAATACATGACTACATATGTTTCTATATGCATGTGTACACATTTTCTATAATGTAAATATATTTTGTTCATATATATATCTATATACATATGCATTTGCATAACATATATATGTATAAATACATATATATTATGCATGTATATACATATAATATAATATAATATATATATACATATATATATATGTATGCATATATATGTATTGAAACATATATATGCATGGTTTATATATATATATATATATATATATAGGACACTCATATGGGGCACCATGGTGCCCGGGCACCATGGTATCTAATGCACAAAATCACTCAAATTTTTCAAAATTTTCAAATTGTGAGTATATACCTAGTTATAATAATTTGATTCATACCTATACTTATCAACAAAACAACTCAAATTTAACTTTATTTCACAATCCATGATTACATACCTAACTAATTATATGTATGGATGCTATATACCTAGAATCAAAATCTAACAAAAACAAGTTCAAATTCAGTTCAAACTTGCTTTAAACTAGTTAGTAAAGTAGTTAATGTTAATACCTAAGTAATTGAAAAAGTTTCATACTCATTTGAATTGGGTATATACTCAATTTCAGCAATGGTGCCCGGGCACCATGGAGCACCAAACAAATTTACTATATATATATATATATATATATATATATATATATATATATATATATATATATATATATATATATATATATATAAACCATGCAGCAACAGGGGCATGCAAAAAAAAAAGGTCAGCTCGATCTTTAGTCCCGGTTGGTGTTACCAACCGGGACTAAAGATCGATCTTTACTCCCGGTTATTTCACCCGGGACTAAAGATAGCGATCTTTAGTCCCGGATTGGTACTCCCGGTTTGGAAACCGGGACTAAAGGGGGGTTACGAACCGGGACTACAAAGGGTTTCTCCACCAGTGCTAGCTGTTGTTGATGATTCTTATTTTTTTAAAAAATACTTGTACTAATATTGGGTACTCTAAGAATGTTGCGATGTTAATCGAAGAAATTGGTGACCAAATATGATTATCCATTTGGGTAGGACGAAATTATAGCCACTTAGTTTTGTGTTCCTTACGACATACTAGTTATAAGCACAATGTTAGAATTTCTTAAATTATATTTATAACTACTAAGAGTTCAAAATTGATATAACTAAATATTGCATTTGTTTGTTCTTCCCTGTGAAATTTTTAAATCTCAACAAAATAAATTTTAAAGCCCAAATTGAGTACAACTCCATATGTATATTACTTCAAAGTTTTAAATTATTTAATCAAAGAAACAAAAAAAGTATGAGTCCAGTTACTGATGACTTGATAACTATTAATTTTTAAATTATTCAATTATTAAATGATAAAATATATAACTGAGGCTCCAAATTGAGTACAACTTTGTATTTATGACTTCTAAGTTTTGCAGCTATTTAATGAAGGAAAACTAAAATTAAGACTCTGTGCAAATACAACTTTATGTTTATTAAATTCTGAATGTAAGAACTACTAGGTCAAGTTCATATGTTGAATGCAACATGAAAAAAAAAGTATTAGAGTGTATATACTCTATGATTTTCATGTACCAATTTGAATTTTGGGGGTATTAAATTAAAATAGATAGTCTTGTTTTGTTGTGCTATGAAGAAAAACATCACACATATTACAATACTACATGGTGCATGCTTAATTACGTGGTCTCACTCTCAAATGAATCCTATATATTTATATTTATAAAGTTCATTCCCAAATTGTACAGTAAGTAAAGAAAGAAACTCATGTCTACTACTCCCTCCGTCCCACAATATAAGAGATTTTTAGTTTTTGCTTGCAACGTTTGACCACTCGTCTTATTCAAATTTTTTTTGCAAGTATAAAAATGAAAAGTTGTGCTTAAAGTCACAAATAAAATAAATAATAATTTCAAAATTTTTTGAATAAGACGAGTAGTCAAACGTTGCAAGCAAAAACTCAAATCCCTTATATTATGGTACGGAGGGAGTATTTTATTACACATTTCTCCTGCAACAACGTGTGTGGTACCCATCTAGTAAAATCCATGTTGTCTTTGACAAAATTCAAAAATAGAATCAACTTAACATGTAGCTACAATATATTTTTCCACAACGTTTTACTAAACAATGAAGCATATATTGAGATGTACAAATGACATTTTCTAGCCCTTTTTCTTTGCTCATGGGGATTTTTTTCCAACGGTTATATATATAGAAAGTTCACATATATAAATCATGATAATTACCTTTTAGAAAATTCAAACAAAGAATCGATATATATAGTTCTATCTATGCATCATTTTCCTAAATCACGATAATTACCTCAAGCTTGATAAAATGGCATTACATTACTATTATTATTACTAGAGTTTTTTCACTTCCCTGATCTAACCAATTTGCCACGATGGTTAGATATATAGATGGTTCTAATTAATCTAATGTTAATGTACTCCACATATATGATATATGTACATACATATCTAGTTTTAACATTTGCAAATGAATTGCAATCAGAATATATATATGCATGCAGCACAGGTGCTTGATTGCAATTATATGATTATTACTCTCTCACATATTGATATGGTAAATTTGTATATATTTGTGGCATGCATTCATGCACGAAGCTAGATTAATTATTAATTAATTCAGGGTGATATCGATGAGGAGGAGAGGACGAGATGGATGGCCCTCTTCACCTGAGCGATGCTGCTCCTCCTCCTCCCCTTCACCTGCGCCAACCAATTCACCCACACAAAAACACACAAAAAAGATTCAGTTATTTTCAGTTCAAAGATTCAGTTAATTTGTACATAATTTAGGCGAAACGAACGTACGAGCAGATCGAAAGAAGGGTGAATATATAAATTCAGAATTCAGAGGAGCAAGAATGAAAGCTTAATTCTGCATTTGCATTTGCATTTGCATTTTCATGCAGATCAGGATCATAACGACGACCTTGGCGCGCAGCTCGGCGAGCAGCTCGCCACCGGCGCACGAGGCCTGGACGGCGGTGACCTCCAGCTGGAGCTCCTGCATCGCCTGCATCACCCGGAGCAGCACCACACCGCCGCCGCCGCCGCCGCAACCGCACCGGAGCTCCAGCAGCGCGTCGCTCTCGATGATGGACACCTGCACCACCTCCGCCGCCTCGCCGCCATTGCGGCCATTGCTGCTGCTCATCCCTTCCGCCGCCGTGGCAGTGGCGGCGGCGGCGGATCTCTTCCTCCGCCTCCCGGCGGCCGCCGCCGATGGCGCCCGGGCGGCTGCTCGTGACGACGACGACGACGACTCGAGCTCTTGTATGCGGTTCCTTAGCTGCTTCACGTACTCGATCGTGTCGCCTAGTATCGACGCCTTGTCCATCTGGACACAAAAACAAATTAATTAATAATTGAAAACAGATTAATTGTTTCTGCCATTTTTTTCTGAGATTGTAATAATATTAATTTCACTACTCCTGAAAATTTGTTACGGAGTAGTTTGGAACTATATAATTCATGGATTATATATAACATTAATTCATTACTCCCAAAAATTTAGGTTTATTACCGGTGGATACGGGTAGGATTCACTTCTGGCCAAAAGTTCGGAAATTTTTTCGAATTTATCAAGATTTATTCAAATCCATAAAAAAGATTCAATTTTCTTCATTCTGAATTTTTTAAAAATCGGATGCCCGGTAAAACATATTTTGCATTCCGAAATAGTGAACCCTAGATTCATGCTGCCATTAGTGAGGATCTTCCAATGTTCGTTAGAGGCTTAAGAAAAGATAACTGAATTTTGATGATCCTGTGGGTACTTAAATACCCCTCTATTTTAAAATATGTGACGCTATTAATTTTTATATATACATTTAATCATTTATCTTATTAAAAATATATATGTTTTATTTTTGGTGTGACTTATTATTTAATAACATTAAAAGTTCTTTAAGTATGACTTATATTTTACATATTTGCACATACTTTCTAAATAAGATAACTAGTCAAATACGGCTTTATAGAAATAGAGGGAGTACTTAATTACCTTTGTCATGAAAGGTACCAAAGATCGCAGAATTATGAACTTCTCATTGAGCTTCTCTCTTCTTCTCCTCTCTTTCAGCACATGGTTGGCACTGAAATCACCTTGGATGGCATCCACTTGCGCCTTTCCCGCCCCTTGATTCAGGTGTTTCTGCTCCCCTGTAACTGCAGTGACTACTGGGAACAATCATCAGGATGCTCTTGAGCATTCTCTGTGTGGTGCCTGGACTGATCATGGTCTTGTTGTCATCACTTCCTTCAGGAGTAGTCCATCTGGAGAATGATGATTTCTCTGAAACTGGCAAGTAGTTCTTGATGTTCATCTCTTGCTGTCGCAGCGTGTTGTAATGTAGGATTGTCATGAGTGTTTTTGGGTAATGGGTATTTTCAGGTGATGCCACTTGATCTTCAGTAGCTGTGACAGAAGGGAAATGGAGACAGTTGTATCAAATATATGGAAAAGAAATGCAAGAATTGAGGATGTATGCAAAAAAGAAAAAAAATGGCAGTGCTTGTGTGAAGAGTACAAATATATATTTTTGGAACAAGGGTGCTTTTGAAGGATTATCTTCTCAAATGTAATACCTGGCTGGTAATCATTTTGTAACTCCTCGCAGAGAAAATGCCAAGAGTGACAAGGCTCATCTGGCCCTTGCAAATTTAACTGACAATTACTGTTTTGGCAATCCATCAGCATTTGGATTTCATCCTCTAAAATATTATTTGAGCAGCCATCTCTTACCACTTCTGACATCTCACACTGCATTAGCTCACTGGAAACTGCATTATTTGGTATTGTCTGGTGGTCATTGCTCACCATGTTCAGTTGGTCTTGCATTTGAAGTTGCAGCTGGCCTGAATTCCTTTCAGTGTCAGTGTTGTTAGTGTCTGAACCTGACATGCCCTCTTCTTCTGTGTCATCATTCTCCTCATCTGCATTGAGCTCATCTGAATAATCAAACTTTGTTTGGCTGGTGATACCTAGTTGCATCTGAACCTGGATTGGATGCTGATGAGTACAGTGGGTGACTGGGTTGGATGTTGAGTGCTGTGAGAGGGTAGGCTTCATGTGGATGCCATGTTGATCCATGAAGATGCCCCTTGCATACTGAATCAGGCCCATATCTTCCTCCACCTTGAAAATATATACATTTTGATTAGTTTGATCCTTACGGAGTTTCAGAGGATTATCAGTTTCATATATCAAATTACATTGAAATAGCCAATATTCACATAATCACATTAGATACTTTATAATATATTATGAGGTATTTTGATTTATACTTAATTATATGGCCCATATAATTAGATTGTCAGCTGATAATATACGAAATCACCTTTTCCGTAGTTCCAATTTCCAGGACGCCATCGACAACAGGAATGCACACAACTGTCTGATGTACAAAGTCACAAAATTAGATAAAAACTGCAGTCTGGAAATTCATAGTTTTTAGATAATGGCCACTGCATCCAAAGATGAACAAAAGCCACAAAATTTCATAGTAAACGTGTAGCTACTTTTAGAGGCAAATACCTGGATACCAGCACTCTGCCATTCATCAGTTTGGTTATTTGTTATGCACCACATCAGGGAAAAGAACAAGAAAAAAAAAGGAGAATTATTGTTACATATTCTTGCTAGCTGGCTCAAAAAGTATATAATATTATTTTATTTTCTGATCTGATTATGGTCATCATTTGCAGTCTGCAAACAGACTACAATGTGCAAAGCACTGTTGGCATTCAGAGTGAAAAATAGGTAAGAGAAGGTGATGGCTGAACCTTGGCAAGAATTGCTCTTAGGAATACTTTGCTGTCAACTTCATTTGCTCCAGTGAGCCATACATGGCCTCTCCTTGCAAATGCCCTTCCAGGTAACCTGAAGACATGCAAAGCACACATGTGTGCAACTTAACAAGTTCTCTCCTCATGACAATGTGAAAAGCATACATGTGTGCAAAGAAAGATGCATGGGCAAGGGCAATTAAAGGCTCTCTCTCTCTCTCTCTCTCTCTCTCTCATGTGTAGAAAGTAGCTAGGACAGAGTACCATTCTCACCGACTAAAATGTTGCAATTTAGATTTTTTTTTTCCTTCCAGACATAAAAGGGTACCAGATTGTTTATAAAAAAAATAAAAAAATCAAAATTATAATGTGAGAACTCGTACTGAAATCTGGTAGCTAAATGTACAAATATTTGGCGCCTTCGGACTATGTACGTCTATGTTGGATGTAGAGGTAGGGTTTTAATTGTCATTATTAAAAACAAGTTTGGTGTCTCCCAACTATAATTAGTTGTCTCTCTTGATACTTTTGTAAGACTAGTAAAATACACTAATTAATTATTTTTAAAGAGTATGCAATGCATGCTATTCTGACAAAAGAAATACAATAACTAAGTTTGATGTTAAATTAAATTGAAAAAGGGCAGGGCTAGCTAGTGTATTCCTTGTTGTCATTCTTTGCCATGCAAAATACAAAAATGGATTTCATGCCATGCATTACTACTTAATTTGGATGAGAAATGTTCCTACGACAGGTACGTTATGTACACATCGCACTTAGCAATACCGTCTATATAGCTCCCTAACGTCCAAGAGGGGGATTTGGAGGGGCGCAATTATTCTCTCTCAATCTCTCTCTTAGAAATTAACCGGACATATACTGATTTTTCGCATACGAGTTTAATTTAGCTAAGCGGCACATCACTTCATCGATGAGAAGTACACCTCGATTTATTATTATACTCTTTAATTATTACGATGTGAAACTAGCACTGTATCGGAGCTATAGAGACGGTTGGTTACAAAATCATGTAATGATGTGATTGCTATATATTCAACCACTTATATAAGGTGGAAGAAAAGTCTTAGCCTTTCATTCATTATTATTAATTATTACACAGTGCAATGTCTAAGAGGATAATTTTCCATGTTATCTCAAAATTTTGCTCTCATAGTCTATCAATTTCAAAACGTACTATACCATTGACTTTTTGAATAATGTTTGATCATTCGTTTTATTCCAAAAAGATTATATAAATATTATTTATTTTGTTGTGAGTTGTTTTATCATCAAATAAAATATAATTGTAACTTATATTTTTAGATGTTTATACTAATTTTTAATATGACAAATGGTTAAATGTTGTGCAAAAAGTCAATAGAATCATACATTTTGAAAAGGGGTAGTATGTTATTATCTAAAAAAATAACCCAACAACTTTTGACCCTTGGATTTATGGAGTAAAACTTATAGGACATATTTTAGGAGAGATATTGTTTGATCACTCTAGCACTACCTTCATTCTTTATTTAATTTACTTGACGTCATAAAATCAGGCTATTGAATTCTATACAATTTGACCACTATATTTTGTAATAATAATAATTTTATCATTGGATATGTTGTTAAGAGTACTTTCATAATACTATATTTTTATTGTGATCTCTTAATATTAATTTATAAAAAACAAATAGTTAAAAAAATATACACCATATGATCCTAATGGGTTAGGATTATAATGGTGGATATTTATCAATATATTTGTATTCATACAAAATAAAAGTTGTATTTATCAAACAAAAGCCATATATAGTTGTATTAAAGATGATATTTTCTCCCATCCTTAAAAGAGCCATATATATACCTCCTGGACAAGAAGGTACAAAGCCTAATATCACAACAGTAGGATTGGAAATTCACATTAATTAATACTCCCTCCATCTACTTTTGATAGGCATATTTTCAAATCTAAAAATTTATTTTTGATAGGCATATTTCAATCCAACAACCTATCCTCTTAATGACATTCCATTCTTCCACACAATATTGGCTACACAAGCATCGAGAAATGTAAATATTAATGAATCGCTTGTTTATGAGGAATAACTAGTAGCGTGTTTAAATGGATGATAAGTAGAATTACTTATACTTGATCTGTGTGTCAAGATGAAATATGACTATCAAAAGTATATGGAGGGAGTACATGTTATTAAGTTTTTCTTTAGAGCCTATCAAAAGTATATTTTGACTATCAAAATTATATATGCATCTAGTGTTAATCAGGAAATATAGAGCCTAATAATACGATGTATATATACATCTCTATGCTTTAGAGAATCAGAAAAGTTAGTTATGATATAATTTGACCGCACGATCTTGTTCTAATCAATTCCAACGGTTTAATTTTTTTTTTACCTCTGATGTAGTTGGATCGGAGGTATGTACCAAAATAAAATTTTGTATACAGTTGTATCTATTTGAAATAAAAAATAAAAATCATAAATCAAATTGAATAAATTATATTTTAAAATCTAGCTAGCTAATTATACGTGAAGATCTAGCTAATTAACCTGCAAAAGAAAAGGAGCTATCCTGATCTTGATTTTCTGCATGCATGCATGCGTGGATCAACACACCGATTAATTAACCAGGTGGGTAAATCTTTAGGGTTTCTGGCTCCAATTAATTAGTGGTAATTGTTCATCATTTTGCCAAGAACACGTAACAAGAAGTGTGGTTTAATTTATGCATGCATGCTTAAATATTTATATCTATATTTTTTATTATATACCCGATGCCGGGAGGGAAGGAGTAGGATGCCGACATGAGGAAGAACCACTCCGTCTCCGTCAGGTCCTCCGGCGACAGAGCCGCCCCCGGCCGCCGGCTCGCCGTCGTCGACGACGTCTGCACGCCGCCGCTGGAGTTCTCCCCGGCCTGCTGCAGCCAGTCGTAGAGCTCCCTCAGCTGCCGGCTCCGGTGGCGCGCCGCGTGGTCGGCGTCGTCCTCCTCCTCCGCCGGCGGCGGCTGCATCACCGTCGACTTCCGCGTCTTGACGGCGCCGTTGTAGTGCCCCTCCCCCCACACCAGCGAGCTCCTGCATGCCATGCGATCACAACTAAATTCAGAATTATTACATCCGTCTCAAAATATAAAAACTCGTGATATATCCTAATAATACGAATCAAAATATGTACATCTTTTTAGATTCGTAGTACTAGCATAGCATATGTCTCATTCGATACTAGCTAGAATTTTTATATTTTTGTTGTACGGAGAGATCAGTATATATATTATCAAAGTATTGAGCCATATCCTCTAGCTTCCTTCGATGATCATCGACAACGACGACGATCCGCCATGGCCGGCCATGGATGAACACTGTGCATCGTGTCGTAGGTAGGTAGGGTAGGTACCCTTGGTGGGGGCAGAGCTGCCAGAGGAGGCTGTAGGTCCACCGGAGGCTCTGCGCCACCGCCTGCAGCGCCGCATGCGCCTCGCCGCCGGCCATGGCGAGCACTGCTAGCTAGCTCGTGGATGATCGAGATCGATAAGTAAAGGCGAGTGAGTGAGGGAGCTTAGGTAGGGAGATGGTCTGATAGTTGGGGATGGAAGAATTGATTTGAAGGTGGTGGGGTTTGACTGGTGGCTGCACACGACGGCTCATGCCGAGGTCGGTCACGTGGACTATAGGAGCTACTATGCGTACTACTCCCCGGCCTCCACATGTGTCGACAAAGGAAAAAAAAAACGGTTCATACATGTCGTTTTCGACGTCAGCACGGTTTTTATTCTTTTTTTATGTTGGTACAAAATATTTGTAAATTTAAACTGATAAATTTTGGAATTTTGGAATTTGCTTCAGAAATGAAATTAATTATTCTCTGCGCATATATTTAGATGATGAGTGAAGTTCTTAGTTCTTGGCTTTTTACCTAGTTACAACGTCGGTAGTTAAATATTTTCTTTAATATAATCTAACCACTGGGTAAGACTAGTAGTATTTTCAGTAAAAGGAATTATAATGTTGTGAAAGCTGAAAGATGATCTTTTTTATTAAAAAAACATATCAGTATTTACTGTTCATATACAAATTAAAAAAATTTCAAATAAGACGAACGGTCAAACGTTGAGCGTGAATAGTGCAAAACTGCACTTATTTTGGGACGGAGGAAGTATCTAAGAGGATCATAACAACTACTCCCTCCGTCCCACAATATAAGGGATTTTTAGTTTTTGCTTGCAACGTTTGACCACTCGTCTTATTTTAAAAAAATTTCAAATATAAAAAACGAAAAATTGTGCTTAAAGTACAGTAGATAATAAAGCAAGTCACAAATAATAATTTTAAAAAATTTTGAATAAGACAAGTGGTCAAACGTTAAAAGCAAAAACTCAAAATCTCTTATATTATAGGACGGAGGGAGTAGTAGGTTTTCTTATTACATGGAAGATGAACAAGCACGCACATCAATATGCACACACCGATCAACTAACAAACACCGAGCAACTTAAACCCTGATGAGTGCAGTTAATTATGCATCTAACAACCACCGGCACTTTCTCATCTCAACCGAGTTTGATTGGTTTGGAATTTTTATTCTACACAGAATATATACCCTCAGTTATATATTGATCCTTTTTCTCCATATGTGTTGGAAGCAATTAATATTGTAATGTGTACATCTTAGTGTTAGCATGGTGTAGTTAGCTAGCCATCAAAACGTGCTTCTGTGAGCGTATTGTCAGACAGTTAGTTTAGCTGTTGCAATGCGTGATACTGTATACGTACTACGTACGTGCATATATATACGGTCAGTAGATAGGGTGTGTCTTAATTAGAGGCCGTATATAGGCAGAATGCCTGTTGATTAACTATTGGCCAGTAGGTCATTAGCGTTTTTATTCAAGTACGTAGCTTTGGAGTTTCTGTACGAGTGAACAGAGGAACCAAACAAGATGCCGTCCAATATATACGCATGTTTGTGTCTATTTTCTTACTAGTACCTCTGTACTGTTTGTCTTGTTTGTGAGACTGTAGGGTGAGAGAGAGCGAGCGGGGGGAAATTATTTAATTAATTTCAACAATATAGTGTGTTGGCCAAATTGACCCATAAGGTAGGAGTAGTAGTTAACACCTCACTTGTTACAATATGCCAATGCCTGTGTTGTCGAAATTGACCCATAAGGTAGGTAGTAGTTAATACCTCCCTTGTTACATTATGCCGATGCATGGTTAGCCAAGAGCTAACTATAAGCCAAAATGACTAATTAGCGATTAAGAAATAATTTGAAGTTTACTGTAGTATATTCTATGACATGGTAAAAGGTTTCTGATGAACATCAAGCATATGCACTTAGCGACTTGAAAGACTAGGCTAACTATAAGCCAAAATGGCTAATTAGCAATTAAGAAATAATTTGTGAATAAAGCTTTTATTCACAAAAGACAATGCTGATAAAGAAAACGTTGAAAATACTCTACCTTCAAAATTAAATTTGATAATTTGAAGTTTTGGCAGCAGCTTTTTTCTTTTTTGGGGTGGAGGGGGGGACGGTGAACTTTACGTAAATTCAAACTGGTAATTTTCAAATCTTATATCGTTTTGATTAGTAAGGAAAAATATTTACACTATAACTCTTCCCTCCTTTTCAGCAGTCACTTGTGCACATACTACTGTTAGTCAAAGTTTTGTCAAACAGATCTAGAAACAACTTGCATGTTTGGAGAAGCATGCAAAGCATTTGACACCCAAGATTTTCAGCTACAAAGCTCACAAATTAAGGCAAAGAGCTCTAACAACTTGCAGTGCCCTAAGTAGCAGAGAAAGGAATTGAATGATTTGTGCCAAATCTGCAGAGAAGAGTAAAAGGGACAGCATTTACTAGCCTTCCTCATGCATCTTGCTGGATTAGGACAGAGAATTTCAGAGTTACACCACTAGATTCTAGCCCTTGGCAGATTCCACAGTATTCCATTTCTGTCAGGGAAACAACTGGAGGCTTCTGAAGCCTGACCTTTGTGCAAAAATGATTGAAAGAGACAGACAATGCAAGGCAATACAATGCATTTACAACCTGACCAGTGATGGAGTTTGGAACTTTGGAGTTGTTGGGAAATCACAGCAGTTTTCACTTGGCAGGATGTCCTTGGAGGGCTTACTGTAGTATATTCTGTGACATGGTAAAAGGTTTCTGATGAACATCAAGCATATGCACTTTATGCTTGAGTTTTCATCAAGAAATTTGAAGTTAAATCTACTGAAAGATAACCACCTAATCAAATGATGAGGCAGTGTATGAAGGCAATGACACTGGTTACATCAGTCTATCAGATCCAATAATAAGCTAACTTAAAAGTCCACATAATTTACAGTCACAGGATAGGTAGGCAACACTTCATGACATTGCAGCATCTTTGACACCATAGCTGAAGCAAAATTATGGAAGCGACGAGCAACAGCCAGGCAAATGATTTCTTGGAATATGGTGTCCCAAAAATAGTCAAAATCATTTGGCAATACAATGGTCTGTTCTCAAGATGTCAAAATCTACAAATATTACGGATGTATTGTCCTTGGTTCGCAAATTCCTAGCTTCACTTAGTATACGATTGGCTACTTTGTCCGCCGAGGCACTATCACCACTGTTTCTCTCCCTACCCTGCAACATATGACCAGCATGAGACAACAATTAAAAGAACAATGCAACTAACACGAAAAAACAGCGTGCTCGTTCACCTCAACAACAAGCTGAACTGCCCTTTTAGTACTAATAACATCCCAGAGCCCATCGCTGCACACATGCAAACAATCACCGGAACGTCATGATTGACACATTACATCAGTAAGCATTACCTTCGCAGCACTGAGAAATCATGTTACCTAGCAATAACTGCAAAAGCTGTGCATGCTTTTGTAATGTGAACAGCTTGGCTCACATATGGTTCTGAGCTGAAGCGTGAATCTTGCTCTTTTAGAAACTTATCTCCGAACATCCTGGCGAGATTAAGTCCTGGAGAAATAAAAAATAACAATATAGCTTTCACCATTTATGGTAATCTCAGACTTGCACTCAAAACTTGAAACGGGCAAAGAGCAAACCATTAATCCGGACTTCGCCAGCTTTCAGGGCCTGTCCAGCTCTTGCTATCCTAGCTCGTTCAGTTACACTAGCTACTCGATGATCTTCAGTCATTTCAATCATCTTTCCATTGACACTGACAAAAGCAGATGTTATACATAAAAAACTGGAGGTTACAGTCAACAGACAAACGGCTAAACTTCAGAAAATAAAGTAAAAAGGTACTTTTTACCTCATAACACAAGCTGAATCACCTAGATTAGCACATTGGGCAAAACAGTCTTTCTTTTGATCAAACCAAATCAGCAGGACTGTTGCTGTGCACCCCTGAAATAGTACACACAAATATCATAAACCACAGCAGTTGTTATCGTGTAAAAATAATTGAAGAGAAAAGGCACAAAACTATTGATGGCTAAAATGGTATCAATAATGTGGAAGCTACTGATAATGAAAAACAGGCCAGACTGCAGAATCCCAGGAAAAGAAACAATTGTTGCTACCTCTAGGTTTCAACCCAAAAAAGAGCTCATGAAGTATTTTTGGCATTGTAAGCTAATGAAGTACCTAGTATATACATTTGTGGATAATATTTGCAACAAAATCTATAATGGATGAAAACACTTATAATTCAAATCATGGGGGTCGGATCAGAAAATATAGATTTAGCAAATAAAAGTACTGCTCTATAAATGACTGCCTAGGTCTGCAACAACTAGCAGCAAATCAATAAAGTTAGTATCAACCATATCCAGATGAAGTTCACAACCAGATCTAAATGTTCAGGAGAAAAACTTTCGCAACAAGATCTAATGTTTTGGAGAAAAACTTTCTAAATCCGAATCCTGTGGATGGAATCAGTGATGATATTAGCAGTTATGCATACTGCTCACCAACGGCTAGTTGAGTACTCCCTCCGTCCCATGATATAAGGGATTTTGGAGGGATGTGACATATCCTATGACTACAAATCTGGACAGGTGCCTATCCAGATTCGTAGTCCTAGGATATGTCACATCCCTCCAAAATCCCTTATATTATGGGATGGAGGGAGTATGCAACTTGCAACTACTAGCAGGAACTAACTAAAGCATATCATTGTTGTTCCGATCAAAGATGGATTTAAATTAACTAGATGCAGACCTATGATTTGCACAGTGTGGGACAGGATATCTTTTATTCTTCGCCTTACTGTTTGTAAAATGTGGAATACCTGAACTTTTAGTCAGCAGGGCACTACATAAAGTGGTTCAGAAATCATATGGATGCTTCCCAAAACCATTTTTAGGCACCCCCAAAGTGTTTAATAAAAAGTTATCACAGGTAATGACTGTTTTCATGATTCAGCTAGTGACATGTCAGAACCTTGAAATGGACGACAGCTAGGAACATCCATAAATGAATTTACTAAGTTGCAATAGGCAACCACATTGGAACTTCGGGATTCTTGTTACCACGTACCAAGCATAGAAAATTTAGTTAAACTATGCTAATGCAAGTTCACGGCAAAGCTCAAATCATAGAATAGGACATGACTGTACTTCATTCAGAACAGGACTTGACTGTTTCATTTATGGAACTAGATATATGATAAGAAACAGGTCTCAGCTAATGTAATTTTTTTAGTGTTGGTAATGACAAATCTATCTCAGTAGTGAACAGTTTAACAACAACAAAAATAATGATAGTAAAGGTAAAGGATGGTTAAAAAAGCTAAACATTTAAAGAGTAAATTTCACAAAACTACAAGTACTTTGATCGAATTATCGCAAAACTACAGATTTAATACTCAAATTATCACAAAACTACATATATTTTACAAGTTTAAATTCCTACAAGTACTATTATGTTAGAGTTATAAATGTTGTAGTTTTGTACTTAACTTGGTGCAAAACATGTAATTTTGTAATAATTTTATTACTAAACATGTAATTTTATGATACTCCATCTTAAATCTGTTGTTCTTTGATAAATTTGGTTCTAAATTTGTAGTTTTGTGATATATCATCTTAAATCTGTAGTTTTGTGATAGTTTGGGCAAAGTACATGTAGTTTTGTGAAATTTACTTTAAATTTAATGCAAGCATTTGAACCACCCATGGAGTACAAATTAAATCACCATAGTAGGGGCAAAGAAGTTTAAACCAAAACCTACTTTGGCAATTTCAAGCCATACAACAAAAATAATCAGATCAGAGAATAGGAGAACCAACCTCATACTCATGATCGATTGCAGCTTCTGTCATAGTAAAAGCATATCTAAGAACGTCAGAAGCATCAGAGTATGAAAGAACCTTTTCTTTTGTCTCATGGTGAGACAAAAGAGTTGCCACATTTTCTGGAAAAATCCTAGAAATCAGGAGGGGGAGAAAACATCAGTTTTTCATGTGGCTATGATGATAAATAATCAGATTACTAATGAAAGAGTAAGTTCCATTAGATATAAGTTAGTACATGAATCCTCATATGTTAGAATAAAATATATCCATGATATATATTGAATATCAGGTGGGAATGAAAGACTAACTTGCTGACAGCTCTGGCAGCTCCATCACCACCATGTCCATCAAAAATTCCAAAGAGTCCAAACTGCAAAACCAGTTGGTATCAAAAACAGGCATATAAATTTATCATAGTTAAATGGTCAGCACCTGTTCAACACCCTGCAGAGGGCACTGGCAAAAGCTTATATCCTCCATTGCAAGCTTCTTTCCACTTCGACGGCCCACCATTGGATCAGATGCCATACCAATCCCAGCAGGGACTCGCTGATTTTGCAGTGAGATCTGGACCTTCAGTGACATAGCAACGCAAATTATAAAATGGAACATAAGAATGCTACCAAAGAATAGGTTAAAGAAAATGCGCCATAGAACTTCAAATATGTCGCAGAGCAACTTGAATGATGAATGTGATTACCAATACAATGAAGAAACTTCAGCTTATGAATTAGAGTACTTGGCCAGGAAAGAAAAAACGGTTTGTGATAGCTGGAGTATTCCAAAATCCTAATTTCCAGAACATGGTTTGATTGAAATTCAAAATAAGAGCAGCGTCTTGGTGAGTCAGCATATTTTATTTTCAGGAAGAATGTTGAATGAATTTTTAAATTAGGGACTGGAGCAATCAAATAGTCAGCAAGGATAACCAATTAACAGGATAAGGAGACTTGGTCGTGTTAGTTGCATACTTATCTTAGTGCAGTAAATCAATGTAGCTCTACCGAATAGAGCAACTAGTTTGTTGGTAATAAATTGATGATACAAAGTTGCACAATTCCCTCATCTCCAACCAAACCATTTTAGCAGATATTTATCCGAGTTGTGTTCAGGAAGCACATTCTTTTTCAACTTAAATTGGATCAAACATAAGGAAATTATTCTTGGAATGGGCTGACAGCAGACAGGCTTAGAACAGAAGGGAATACTGATAAAAATGAAAATAAGTATCTTCAGTACACAAGACTGAACAATGATTGAAAATAAATATCTTTTCATTCAAAGCACAGTTACTAGCTTTATTTATCTTAAAGAAATACTAATGGTTTCAGATTATGGATAACTAGGAATTAACATGTGTAGGGTTCACAATTGCTGAGACGAATTCTATAAGGCATGCCTGTTTAACAATTCTGGAAGCTTCATGTCAGACTAGTATAAAACCTATGAATGAAGGAAGTTAGTACACTAGTCCAATTATGCCCCGCAAGAAAGAAAATGGGAGTTAAGCAAATATTTCAGCAAACATGAGAGAAACAAGAAGAGATGCTGAAAGCATATAAAAAACTTACAGATAGTTTTGATGAAGTTCCTAGAGTTATAATGTCACCATCTGCTAGTTCAGCTGGCTCACCCCAGTGCCTGGACCCAACATTTGGATGGTGAACTGCCCGAGAGTTCACAAATGTCCCATTCAAGCTGCCCATGTCCACAATTTCCCATTTCAATGTCTGCATATGAACAAGCACTTCATTTTATGTAAACCAATGCAAGATTGGTATATTTGCTTACAGCATATAGCTATAATACTAGTTAGCCTTCCATTGTACAATTTTCTACTCGTTAAATGCTCAAAGATAAGGGAACATATCTTGTGCGCACAAGCCTTCTTGTGCACACATATCCTGTGCTCAAAGATAATTTTTCATAGTTACAGCCAAGGAAATAAGCTTCTGCTCGTTAATAACTAGCTAACAGTAAAGAGATGCTGAAAGAAAATGTAGCATGCAAACCTTTCTGGCAGAAACAGTTTCTCTTTAGAAATGGATGAAAATGTTTATTGAGTTCCTGTATGAACAAAAACTAAAAAATAGTTTTCTCTAAAAGCGTGAGTTCAGGATCTTGTGGCATTAGGTCAGGAGTATGTGTCCATCATACCACCCTAGCATCTCAATTCTCAACATTTTGATCAGTCAGCTGAGTCCTGGGCTCTAATTGAACAAAAGGTGCATCTTACTATTGAACAAAAGCACATATTTGACCAAACAAATCAAACAAAATGGTAATGTTAAGTTTCATTACAAACATCACTATTCCAGTTTAGTTACAAGGCTGGGGAAACAACTAGATAAATAGCACTAAATCGAAGGCACAAGAAATGAATAAATAGTTCCTGAACAACTTACCTTTGCATTCCAATTTATTCGAGCATGTTTCCCTGACACCTCAGAGTCCTTCAACACCAAATCACTTGGGGGGACCCTTCCAAGAGTTATCGGGATTGTAGGACTAGTTGACTGTCGGGAACAACTTATTCCGTGAGATGGGCCAGCAATGACCTCTACGTCTAGGTTGCTTCCTGCATTTCTAGCAAAAGATTGGGTTAGATGCGTATACAAATTCAAACCTTTGCAAGGCATAGCTACTGAAACATTCTAATCAGGTTTGAGGGATATCGTACGATATGTATTATCTTTTAGAGAAATGCTTCCATTCTTATTATCCTCTCCAGAACCCCATCTTTTGTGTTTTTTATCAGGCCTTGACCAACTTGTCTGTTTTGTACACTTCAGTGTGCTTCCCAAATGGAACTCTTCAGATGTATCATCTGTAACATCGATCACATGAGTTTCTCCTACAAAATTCATAGCAATTTCTGTTACTCAAGAGTTGACATTGGTAAACACTCAATATTCAACTGAGATGATCAACGCAACAAAGACGAGAGAAATTGAAGAAAGTTGATTTTTATGTCAGGAGGCTACTAAAGGTTTGGGCATCATTATACATACCTTGCGGAGTGCAGGAATCAGCAGGATAAGTCCTGCCAGAATCACTTATTCCATGACTTCTTGGTGAAGTATCACTCCTGCTTGTTTGAACTTTTGAAGATTCTCCAACAACATTTCCAGGAAAAGTGTTACTCTGGCTAGAGTGATCATCCAGAATTTCAAGGAGAGGCTTATTTAAATCCTCATTCTGCAAATGCAGAGCGCAAATCATCAAACAAAAAATACATGGATTTCCACGCTGCAATCAATGGAAGGAAGAGATTGATGTAGATCATGTGGTGGGAATTTTTCAAGAAATAATTAAGAGTGCAGTCAGATTTTATAAGAAAAGGTTTTAGAAGATAAAACAAAATGTGAAACTTCATCCTCTCAAACATCTTGCATGCAAGAAACATACTCCATGGAGTTTTGTCAGCTTAGACAATAACTTGAGCAAGTTCCCATCAAAACGAAATGCTTAAGTGAGTGAATCTGGAAGGTTCATGAAATTGAATAAATCATCTAACTTACTGTCCAAAAATGCAAGATACAACTGTGAAACTCAATATATTATTGAGCATGGGACACACTGTAAATCTTCTGAAATATCTCTAACATACTTGCAGTAACTTCGTATCACTAATGACAAAAAAAAAACACGCCAGGGTTGAATCAGAGAATAAATGGAACTACAGTACTTACAAATTTCATCACACCTTGACTCTAATATACAACAAAGACAAACTACAAGAGGAACAACGAGTTAGCCTTCCAAATTTTGGTTCTGGTATCTCATATTTTAGATGTTGTATTTGTGCCACTAGACACCTAACTGGCTCATCATTTTGAAAGAAAAACGTCTATTTCTTGTCCCTCAATTCTTCACTCAATTTAATTTCCGTCCCTCAGCATCAAAACTGGATAAATATCATCCCTCAACTCTTAAAACCACATAGCAATCGTCCCTCAACCTGTCTAATAGTGGTTTTCACCCACGTGGTGTCGGGATCATATGTCTATGTAGGGCCCGCTGTCATGAGGATTCTATGACAAGCAGGCCCCGCCGCTGCCACCGTAGATCTTACATGGACGCCAAAACCTCTCTGACAAGTGAGCTAGAGCAACCTCAGATCCCATATCTACACCAAGTAGGTCAAAAACCACTTATAAACGAGTGAGAGGTGAGATCTAAACAGTTTTGAGAGTTGACGGACGAGTTTTATCAGTTTTGGAGACGAGAAATACAAACCAAACCAAACCAAGAGTTGAGGGACAAGGAAAAAAACTTTTTTTCCTTTGGAAAAATCACGATTTGGAGAGAAAAAGAAAAGGACAACATATCAGGGGGTGCTGTATCCAGCTCACCGGTTTTTGCTCCATCTTCTTTGATTTGTGGAATGCTTCCATGAGCATTCCACACAGAGATGAAGAACGGATCGTGAGGGGATCAAATACCACCAAGAAGTAACTGATCAGATTTCAGTTAGTACGTAGGAAAGATGTGCTGCATATAGAAGAGAGCAGCAGCAGTGCTTATGGATGGAATCTGTTGATGGGAGAAGATGGATGCAAGATATAAGCAGCAGATGGACACGGGGGGAGGGTGACGGAGTGCCTATCTCGTGACGGGGTAGCGGTGCGGGGAAGACGGCCAACTCATCCTCCCTCTTTTTCCCCCACTTTTTGCATGCCGTTTTATTCTTTTCCTTGTCTCCATGTGTTCTTTCTAAAATTTTCCAAAAATAAAAAAAGAACAGAAAATTCTTCCTAATTTTCAATTGAAGGAAGCAACAACTTGTGTTCATTCCACAGTATTTTGCTACTGTAAAGTGTAAAGATTTGATTTACAAAATTTATGAAGCAAAGAATTATGAATAGCCATTAAATTGCATGATATTTCCCGCTGTCCAACATGGAAGCACACATAAACAAAGTTAGCGCAAACCCGATATCCACCGTTCAGAACCAAGCTTCAAATGTGACTCTAACCATACGCTTCCTCAGATTACTCCGACAATTTCTGAATTTCCATTTTAGAAAAAACATGGTCCACAGAATATCGTGTAACGCCGTACATTTATTTCCGCATTTTCCTAATGAATACATCAATGCGCTTGGTATACTATAATCATAGCAACAATAAAGCAGCCTTAATGTCCACGAACCCAATGCTTGTTTTTATACCCATACTAATTTAATTGATCTGTAGCAAGTAGTAATGCATTAATGTACTGTATCTTTAAGCATGGCTACGTCTCCCTAATGCGCATAATCCGACCCCAGATTTGCAACCATTAGTGAAACAACCAAAATCAGCATATACACATGTTCGTCTCCATCAAGGGTTTACCAAATCGCCCCCCATTTCCACGGATTCCTCAGCAACCAGACGAGGGAACAGCGAACGATAGGCCATATCCGAAAGAAACGACGAACAAACAGCGAAAATTCGCAAGAACAAGCTCGCTCCACGGCGGCCAGCCCCAAATGTTCGTAGCAATAATAATAGTAACAACAATAATAACAGATTAATCCGACGAAACGTTCGATTCCGTCGACGCGGGTGCGGATCAAAGCGAGGGAGGAGGGGAGCTCGGATCTTTAACCTGGCTGCGGACCGGAGATGCGGCGACGACATCCGCCGCCGCCCGCGGCGGCGGCTGCGGCGCCGCCGCTACCACCGCGCGCCGCCATCGCCGGCAGGCGAAGACGACGAGGACGAGAATGACGAGGGAGGCTATGGCGGCGGCGGCGAGGACGAGGGGGAGGGGCGGCGCGGCCATGGAGGGGGTGGTGGTGGAGGGGGGAAGCTTGCCTAGGACGACGGCTGCGTCGCCATCGCCATTTTTTTTTTCTCTCTCTTTCTCGCGTGCGCCGCGCGTGCGTTTTTTAGCGTCCGTGGGATTTTTACTTTTTTTTCCTCTCTCTCAACCCCTATTTTCGGGGGCAACGTGAATTCGGTGTCAATTGCGAGACGAGCTTGCGGTGTAGCTCTTGAAAGAAAGAAAAAGAGTTTTTTTTCCTTTCTCCCTTTTTTTTTCTTTTTTTTTCTCTAGCTTTCACATCAATGTTGTTCATGGTTTTAACGTTGAATGTGTGTGCTGATATACGATAATAATAGAATCATAGTTGGAAAAAAAAAGAAGCTATATATTAGTCGAGAAAGATATAAGATTGTTACTATATAATATTATATAGTGCTGTATTTTAGTTAACTTTAATTATTTGTTGTTGCATGCATGAGGAAACATGGATTTTTTTACGTTCTATTGAAAGGTTATATCTAGAATTCAAGTATTAAGGAAAAAACGATTGCCATACAAAATAAGGAAAAAAATAATGAATATATTACATAGCATTCGTTAAATAATTTTATTCGCGACGACAAGTTGATACATGAGAAAATAGAACATTGTGTGCATCTTCACCGTATGCATTATGGTTAAGCAAATAGCTGCCATGACAATTGTCTATGAGAAATGCCCCTAATATGATATAACTTCCTTTGTTTTGTTTTTTTAATTTAATGGTTTAGCTTAAAAAGCACCGAAAGTTTTCTAGTTTAATAATAACCAAAGGTTTGTAAAATTTATTTATTCATGGTGCATTACTCATAGGTCATGTTGTGTTACGAATAAATGATTATGAGAAAACTCCAATTGGCCATATTGGTAACATCTATAGTCTCTAGTTGGCCATATTAGCTATGACAGGTCTGCCAAGAGACTAGCCACAATTGATGGATCTAAGCTACGGCTACAGTGACGTGCCCACTATCTCTAGCCAGCTATCAACCCAATTCTATAGTTGTACTAACATTACTCGTCGGTTACATTAGTAAACGGGCAAGGGACTCAACATATGGCTATAGTGACATACATACTATTTTTGTTTGGACGCATCGCCTTCGGGGTGCATGACTATGCTGCTTAGAATTACCATCCTAAAGCAATAGTGACATGTCTGCTATTTTTTGTTCAGATGCCTCATGCCTCGGTTACATAAATAAGCTAGCCAGTGAAACCATTCTAAAGTAGTAGTGGCATGACAACTATCTTGGTTGGACACGTCAATTATATCACTAGGTTGGCTTATGCTTCCATCCTAAAGTAGCAGCAGTGACATACATGTCTTGTCAAGTTTGACACGTCGACCGCATCACTACGTTGGCTGGCGGATAAAATTCGGATGAATCTAAAGGAGTAGTGATATACCTGCTATCTCTAGTCGAAGATAATGGCTTTCTCTCCATGCTGCTTAGTGTACCTATCTAAAGCAGTAGCGACATGCCCACTGTCTCTACTCAAACGTATGGCAAGTGAACCATATGTTGATAGTGACATGCTCAATATATCTAGTTCTCAAGTTGGACGCATACCCAATGTACCCAATCATATACCAATAGTGAATGTCTCCAATAGTGACATGTCTGTTATCTCTAGTTGGATGCGTCAACTATATCTTTAGGGTAATCGGTAGATTAAAGTGACACGTCAACAATCTCTTATTGCCTACATCGGTTGTGTCAATAGCCTAATTAGTGAACCCAATATCCATATACACAGTTCAATAGTATGTATGTGTGTGTATATATATATATATATATATATATATAGAGGAAAATGGTTCTATATACCCAGATGTATGTACTCCCTCTCCCATCTACCGTCCATCTCAACCAGCCTCGATGAAGCTCCTTAATGGATCAACGAGCGGACCTGTTTTGATTTTCCTTTTGTAAAATAATCTGGATCCTTAATTAGCGCTTAATTATCTAAATCACAACAGTTAGTACTCAGCCAATCGAACAGCTCTCGCTACATTTGCGGTTTGACGCGAGGTGGAGGCAGCGACGACACCTCCTCGGATTGACTCCGCGACGATTCAGCGGCGGCTGGGTGGCTGGTGGAGGATCATAGAAGCGATCTTTTCTGATCTTTGAATCTGCTCGTTCCTTGCTCCAGTGATGGCTCCTCCTTCACCAATCGGAGACAGAGATAATCGACCTGGAGAACCTGCCACTCGTTGGTGTTCCAGGAGTAGAGGTCATCGATTTGGAGTCGCCTGAATGCAGGAGCAGAGCAGCCGTGGCAAAATCGACGGGTCTCAGTAGTGGAGGTCATCCAAAGCAGTAGGTTAGTATTGGTTTTTTTTCTACGACGAGATCGATGCTCGATGCCTTAAATTTTCTTGTTTGCAGGGTCACAAGAAAATCAGTGTGTCACCACAGTCCAAGGTATGTCACCAGAAATGGAAATCTTGATGCCTATAGACAGGGGTTCTGCATAGTATGGTTCATGCACGATCTCAGTTCTGTATAGAGAGGGGTTTTGCATATACTGCATTTCTATGCATTTGTATATACTGAATTTTTCTTTGGAGGGGTATGTACTTAATCTTTTTAAGATGGTAGTACATACTGCATTTTTTTGGATTGGTATATACTGAACTTTTTTATGGAGGGGTACGTACTGAACTTTGTAAGCTGTCCTTTGTTAAGCAGAAGTATATACTGCAATTCTACATAGAGAAGTATAAGCTGATTTTTTGATTGTCAGTAGTATGTTTTGAACTTTGTAGATACTGCATTTCTCTATAGAGAGGTTTATACTGTTTTTTTTTTTTTTTGCCTACGGAGTGGTACGCACTGAACTATTTAGATGATGCTATACACTGAATTTCTATGAAGGGGTTCATACTGAACTTTGTAAGATGACAGTATAAACTGCATTTTTCACATATATACTGAACTTTGAACTTTGTAAGATGACAGTATAGACTGCATTTTCCACATATATACTGAACTTTGTAAGATGACAATATATACTCCATTTTTCACATATATACTGAATTTTATAGGATGACAGTATTTACTGCATTTTTCACATATATACTGAACTTATAGGATGACAGTATATACTGCTACGAACTAACGAAAAGTATATACTGCTACTAACTAAAAACAGTACATACTGCTACTAGCTAACAAAAAGTATATACTTCTACTAACTACTACTAAAAACAGTATATACTAAAGTATGTACTGCAACTAACTTAAAAACAGGTATGTACTGCTACTAAAAAAACAGTATGTACTGCTACTAACTTAAAAAACAGTATATACTGCTACTAAATTTAAAAAACAGTACATGCATACTACTCCTTACTTCAAGAACAGTATATACTACCTTTAAAAAATTATCATCTGAATGATTGTATATTAATTTGATCCAACGGTAGCTGTACACGCTGGCGATGAATGTGATTCCGGATGGAGCAAACCAACAAACCAGACGAATGAAGCACTGATGAACCAGTATATACATCTATCGTTAATTATTAGCATGCATGTTCTAGTAAATCACCAGTACCATGAGGATCCTACAAGAAAGTATATACTGCTCAAATCTAGCGAGGGATTTAGTATATACTGGATGCCACCCAATTGCATGCTACAAATTTTTGATCCTGACCTTGTACCGGCCGGCCGGAGTGCATGCACATGCAGGAATTTGAAAAATAAAGGGAACGGTATTCTCTTTAAAAATTTTCTTATTAATCCAATTATTTAGTATATGGATATCCAATAAGAAATAAGAAAGGGGTGTACATACACCTGGGTAATCAAAACGGGTCCGCTCGTTGATCCGTTAAGGAGCTTCATCGAGGCTGGTTGAGATGGACGGTAGATGGGAGAGGGAGTACATACACCTGGGTTTATAGAACCATTTTCATATATATATATATATATATATATATATATATATATATATATATGGTAGTTACTATATATGAACCGGTATTATATCATCTAGCAGCCACATGAACAATTGTTGTTTAACACAATATAATTGTTTGTCTATTAGAACACTATACAAGGCAAACAAAAATACTATAGCAACACAGTAGTGTAAAGGGTCTAAGTTCACACTGAAGCATAAGGAACTATATATCAGAGTGGTATCTCATTTCGTCCTACCTACCACCCTCTCTTTCTCTTCCCTTCGTCAACCTGGTTACCAATTCCAAATCAGGCTGGAGATGTGCACCGCCTACTAAATTCACTAGTAGATACTCCTACACTACTACCATAATAACTCAACTGATGAATAACTTCATGCCATATGCTCATTGTCGCAAGCATGCAATTTCACTGATTAAGATTTTCACGTTACCGCACTCCTCGATCTCATCATCCTACACAACCCTACATCACCTTTTCATCCATGTTCATGACAACTCTTCTCCACGTTGATCAGTGCTTACCGTGCATGTATTCCTCCCCAGTATCATTGTCTTGGATTTTCTTTGTGCAGCTTCTAACAACCGCGGCTAGTCACAGAATCTCTAACTCCAAACAATCCAGATTTCAAAAGATTATGCAACTATTATTTATAGAATGAGTAAATTACATTAGTGGTACACAAACTTGTTAGGTGGGTGCAATTTAGTAAACTTGTAAAATACTCATTTCAGTATATGAATTT